AGATGTGGATTTCATTTAACTGGCTCTAAGTAGTGTACAAATAAGGTTTTCAACATTTGGTATCACAAAGTCGAGACATTTTTAACAAACTGAATTTCACAAATCAATTGCTCTACATAATTTAAAGAATTCATATTCAATAAGAGTAATATTTGCAAACGAAATGGGACGATTATCATGAATAGCGTGGCTAAGTACAACTTTGGGAGGAATCTGTCGTACCATGTCTCAAGATAGATGATAATTTGCCTGGAGGTACTGAGTAAAACTACTACAATCCTCAGGCAGAAGAGTCGGTAACGTGTCTGTGATCCGAAAAGAATGCTTCACAAACACAATTGGTTTAGAGCATTCCCGCTGCATGAACCTTTTTATTTACCTGAAAATTCTGGCTGATTACTATAGAATCTTTTGACCTTACCTGCAAGCCCGTCTTCATTATTGAAGAGTTATCGGACTGCTGGTAATACCTCGGGACTATGAGGAAGTGAATTGCTAACTCCTTTATATAGGCATGTCAGAAAGGTAAACCAGTCCTTGATTTAATAAATTCTTTCAACAGAGTTTCTGTATCGTATGTTACACCTTCCTCACCTTTCGCCTTTCATTTGTACAACCCGCTCTTCGTGAAGCAAGTTCCCAGTGGACAACGCAACTGCGGCTCCGAAAACAGCCAGCCCTTCTTAAGACACAAACAAAAACTCGTTAAGCAATTAATAAGATCATTCATTAATTAGTTAATTAAATAACCGAATAATTTAGTATCTAACGTATTATGTTACGCAGTAATTAATTAACTAACGTATTAGTAATTTGAATTATTAATTATATTATAAACCAGCTAACTGACTTATTGTCTAGCCAACTGACTACCCCAAAGATACCGATTAATTAACTTAACTGCGTAATTGATTTACGAACTTAGTAACTAAATAAATATTCTAATTAAATAACTTGCTGCCTAACCGACTAACTACTCGGAAAACTAATTTATTTACTTCGCGGTCGAGTAGTTAACATTTCTGCTTAGGATTCCAAGGTCTTGAGTTTGATCTCTGGCTCAGGCCGGCAGTCCAGACAGATCGTTACGTGACGGCACACCACAGGTTTTGGTCTCATGAAAAGGGGATGCAGAATTGTGTCTTACATGGGCATAAATGATGTATCCTCATCATATCATAACTGAGTGACATTATTCATAGATTTACACCTCCAAGAATACACTGTATCACCATTAAAAAAAATTAGCCTTTTAATGATATTTAGGAAACATTTTGGTGTTTATTTTGAGAACCAAATAAAATATATGAAGGGTATATTTGGGCTACATGCCGAGTTATTGATGTTAAACATAGTTAACACTGCCCTGTAAAGGTTGAAGGTATGGACACATGTATTGAAGAATTTAGGAGGACCAGCAGAAACCTTAATCCAGGCCAGGAATCGAATCTGGGATGTTCCAAATAAGAATCAGGAGTGATTACCGAACCACAACGTTCGGCCTAATTGCATAGTAAACAATTGATTTCGATGTAACATTCCCGTAAATAATTATAGTCTACATTTCTTATTTCATCCGGAAAAGCAGATTTATGCTATCGCCATATCCGTGCGTCTGTCCGCCCACCAGCCCAACAACTTATGACAAAATGGGCGGCTTTTCACTGAAACGACAAGGAACATCAGAGATTTAGAGGTCACACGTTTTAATTTTGTACCGTCGGCAATGTCTTTGCATTTGAAGTGGAATATTCACGTTTAATTCATTATCATGGCAATGAAATGTTCAAATAATATACAGGATACACATTATAATACGGAATATTGATCATGTTTAATTATTTTTGAGACAATAGTAAATAATATTAATAATAATACGAAAAACAAGAAAAGCAGGAATAATAATTATTATTTCATAAAGAAACACAGACATACGCTTTAAAATATTTTGTTCGCATGTTGAACTTACAACTTGCTAGTGTTATTATCCTCCGCGAAGCCGTTAGACTTGAAACTGACAATTAAAATAATCAAATGACACATCAATATGCAACCTTGGCTCCTACAGATCCGTTAGCACTTAGCCACAAGGCCGGGTCTCGTATTTCTTTGCAAAGTGGCTTGTTGCGGCGATTGAAGATAAACTGCACCACAGGCAACAGGTTTCTCAAAGTACTCACATTACTTGCGAAACAGGGGACGAAATGGCGGAAGGAAGCTGGAAAGAACACATGGAAAAAGGAAGAAAGAAAATGGCGTACGAAATAAAAAGAGAACAGAAAAAGAATTAATAAGGAAAGAATGTGAAAGGAATTGGTAAAATAAAAGGAAAAGAAGAAAATAAACCCTTTCACAAAACCTGGAAATAGACTTCATTTCTCTTATAATTCAATAATGTCTTATCCTCGCTTAATCTTCCCTTGGGATTTCCATGGAATATTTTATATATGTAATTCCTGCGTTCTCCATACATAGCATTAGTCCACCTGTACTTCTGAATAAAATTATTCTAAAAATAATATAACTACAAATTATCAAATTAGCTTACATTAAATTATATAATATATGGAAGGGTAATAAAAGAATTGAAGGTTTAAAACCGATCTATGCTGCATTTTCTGCATGCGTTGTAAGCCGTGCGTAAAATTAGAGCGTAATGAGGGAAGAGGCATTCATTAATCTGTCTGCTTGTTCCATCTTTCAAACCACTTAACTGATTTTAATTATGTAGCATCTGAGGCTTTCGCGGTGGTGAGTTCAGAAATTGCTGTCTTCTGGGTTGTAGCGCCGTATAATTTGGTAGAAGTTTATCAATGTTTCAAGGGTATTTGCTGCCTCCATCATCAGGTTGGTAAACTTCTACAAGACTATACGTTGATACAACCCAGAAGACAGCCATCTTCTGATTTTAATTAATTTTGGTATTTAACTCCTAACAATTTGTCAGTTCCGTATGAATTTCGAAGGCTTGTAAATAAATGAGATTATACTGTTAAAATTTATCTTAGTCAAAATTATGTTGAAAGATTTTAACTTTGGTTGAACTCACTAAGGATCGGATCGGATCGTATGGTATAACAAGTCTCGTATTGAACCTATGGATAAATGAAAATTAGTTAATTATTTATTAGAGTAATAAGCTCCATAATACGATTAAGTTATGGATCGAAAAAAATATGGACGGCTTCAATTTTTCAGTTTATTGACTGATACATTACGTTCAATAACTACTTGCAGTGAGGATGATTTGCACATTTTCATTGTTTGTATTGGTCTTGACAAATCAATACAAGAGACTATTCACGAAAGACAGTTTTGTGTCCTGCTATTCTGGTTGTAAGTTGTCATAAACAAATATCCAGTTAATGCAGTTCCCATATGCTTTATTGTTTTTGTCTGTTTTACAATAGTCTGAGACACTATAGAAGATAATACAAGTTTTGTCGTGCGCTTCAAAAGATTTGCCGTGTGAGAGGGACTAGTTTAATTAATTTACATGTGTCTGTAGTCTCTTAAACATTGAACTTTCAATGACTGAATTTCGATACGAAGACCCGGAGATTTTCGTCTCCCGTGTTATAAGCCAGTGCTGGGAGACAGGTTTATGTAATATTACAATGTCCATTAATCACGAAGTGCCTAACCTAACCAACATAATAATGGCACCCAGTATGGCGCCGTATGTGTAGGATCTGATGGTACTGGCAGACTTCTTTTCCTTGCATGGAAAACCTGGTACATGAAATGTCATCCATGAAAGGTTAATGCTATTTCTTACTTTATATACGTGTTGCTTATCCAAATTTTACTAATTATTTTATTTATAACAAGTAATGCAGTTTCTAAACATAACTGACAGTATCAAGTGATGATTCACTCAGTAAGCAATTCTCAGACTACAAAAAGAATAATTTGCAATTAAATCAGTTAAACTACTCGTGATTTATTTTAAGAAACATCTTATTAAGGCTGCCCATTTTGTACTAGACGGGGGTAATTTAACGTTGAAGCCGGATTTATCATCGTGGTTGTGCGCGTTGTACAGGAGGGTAAGCAGGCCCTATAATACTTCTGTACGTAGCAAACCCCAGCTCAG